TGTAAAAGTCTTATATAGTTCATATGGTATTCCATCTGGTCCAGGAGAGCTGCCATTGTCTTTTGCCCCAATGGCTGTTAGGACTTCCTGTACAGTGAAGGGTTTTGATAGTTCATCCTTTGTTTTTTCAGAGATGGTTGGGATGTGATTTTGAAGGGAGGAGGTGTCGAGTGTGGGTGAAAGATCCCATAGCTGTTTATAGTAGTCAGTGGCATAGTTAAGGATATGTTTGATGTTTGAGGAGATATGTGTGTTGTTTGTATGTTGTGTTGGGGAGTTTGGGGAGGAGTGGATTAGGGTGGGACTTATTGTAGAGAATGATGTTATAGATTCCATAGAGAATGTGGATGGTATGTGTTTAGATGATGTAGGTGGTAGGCGTTTGTAGGATGGTGATATTGCTATGGGGGTATTGGGGGTTACAGGCATACTGGGGATTCGGGGAGGGATGGTCATAGGGATTTGGAGAGATGATATGGATGATTTCTGTTGTTTATGTTTGAAACGTTGGTAGAAGTATCTGGAGCTAGTCTCTCCCTCTTCATACCAGCGAACCCTTGAGCGGATAGCATATGCTTTGGAAGCTGATTCTTCCAGGTCCCTGAGCTTCCTGGTGAGATTGGCTATGATATGTGTGTTGGGGGAGGAAGAAGATTGTAGTTTTTTTATGCGATTAGTAAGGTTGATGATACCTTCCCTACGTTTTTTGGCCAGAACTATTCCCATTTCTCTGCAAGTTGTTCGAATCTGGGATTTGAACTCATCCCAAGAGGATATTGAGAGGGATGGTAGGGCAGTTTGGATGTTTTGTTCCAATTTGTTATATATAACTGGGTTAGTTAGCATAGATGTGTTCATGCGCCAGATATTGGATTTGTGTTTTGTTTGAGCCTGGAGAATTAGTGCTCTGTGATCTGAGTCACTTCCCATATGTTTTGTTGTTGTTGATTGTGTTGATGTGATCAGCGAGGGGTGGGCCCAGATGTAGTCAATTCGGGATTGGGACCAGCCTGTCTGTGTATCCCTGTAGCATGTGAATTGGGGGTTTTTGTCAGAAGTGTTTGCTACATCGATAAGATTGTTGAGGTGAGGGAGGACGAGATTTAGGAGTGGTTTGATTTGGTGCAAAGTTGAGGAGATATGGTCATGTTGGTAGAGGATGGTGTTGAGGTCTCCTGCCATAATTGCTGGTTGAGATGGTAAGGGAGGGAATTCATGCCAGAATTGTCGTTTCTTTGTAAGGTTGGCAGGGGCATAGACATTTCTCAGGGTAAAGGAGCATCCGTGACAATTGTTGATAAGAATGTCTAGGATTCTGCCCTCTTCAAGTAATTGGATGAATGATGATGATGTAGTGTGGTGGATGAGAGTTGCTGTATATGGAGTGATGTAGATGTCTCCTTGCCAAATGGTTTTCCATTTGCAGCTCATTGCTGTTAGGATAGATGGATCTTGCGAGTAGATGGCTCTTGAGTAATCCCAATGATCCAAACATTATCAGGGGTTAATATTTCCGGGTATTCCTGAGTTAGCTGTTTGAGAAACAATACAATCATTACAACAATCAATGCAACACATACTTAATACTATTTGCATGTGAGATAATTTACCTGATGAAAATCAAATGACTGAGTATCACCTATCTGCTTGAGTGTCACTTTTGTCCATTCATTTATTATTGGATCTAACCAATCCGCTATATGTGTACATCCATGGCGCAATAATGTCATCTGTTGCACGTTTGTCAATAGAGAACATTCAACCCATTGTATATCGGCATCATATCCATTCTCTGTATTCTTCCATGATTCCATAATAAATAAATCCAAAGACCTGTTGCCTGTAGTCCAATCAAGAGGTTTTGGCACTTTACAATAATGACAGAATGCATTTGCAGCGCGTATAAACGCTGTTGTACACGCCAGACAGAATCCAATCTCATGCCGATCTTTTATTATATAATACTTATTTTCACTTGTATCATATGTAAATCCAACAGTAACCCAAACATCTTTGTTGAGAATATCGAGATGCGCAACGCATAACTAGTGAAAAGGATACGTATGTTAATTCATTAATTATCCAGACAATTCAATAAACACGATGCATAAGTGAACAGTCTACCTTGTCATAATACGAATCATCCGTCTCATCCGTTATATCAAGTGGAATCAATTTAACAATTGCATAAGCAGGCAAACCATCTATGTATGCTTCGTATGCCCTATCATAACTAATGCAATCAAATGGAATCCATTTCAAATAAGCTTCATTTGCCGAGTTTGTTTGCATTTGAGATTTCTTAATAAACTCGTCGAGTTGCTTATTATTGCTAGTCCATCCATCGGATAACTGTTTATGTCCGCAAACACATCACAAAGGACTGCATCGGAGCATTCCACATGCGAAGCAGAATCCATATCGAAAATAGTAATGGTAAAAGCGTTTATCAGCAACCATGTAGTGGTTATCGTCATACTCGGTAAATCCGATTATGAATTTGTTGCGATAGCCAAGCCATTTCTCATATCGTCTAAATTGACTGATATTATTGTACTCAGGTGTCGGAAGTGAGTATATTCTCGCAAGCGTTGGTGTACATTCTTCACTGTTTCCGAGTAATATCAACACTATCATCGCTTCATCAGTTGTACCATCATCATATGTTTGCTTGCGAATGGCGTAGTAGACGTTGTCAATTTGAGTTGACTTTATTTCTGTAATTTCCGAGTTAGGAATCCATTTTTTATTACCAGTTGCAAGCAAATTGTCAATTGCTGGGTTTTGTGACATAGTTTTTGAATTTAAAGTTCACTTTACTAATTGTATAGTAAATCGACCCCTTTACTATTACAGTCATATCATGTGACTTAAATTTTGTGTTTCTCATACTAATACTTGAAAAAATCTGAACGTTATGCAGATCACGGTAAAAGCAGCAGATAAATACTCTTTATGTTGCTTCCTGCTCTCAACAGCAACAAAAAAAGTTCTTGTTTGCAACTACCTGACAACATTCCTAAAAAGATATGATTATGCACAGAAGTTTACTAATCAAAAACACCAACCCATTGCTGATTTCTTTAACAATCAATATTTAACTCTTAGATCCACAATTTCGAAATTCATTTAAATTTAATTATGTTAATACAGATATTCACCTCCATACAGTCAACAATGATCTGACTGTACTATCACTACGTTTCCGCATAATGTGTTGGACTGTACTTTAATGATGCGATGCGATTATAACGAAAATTTTACTTGGGTTTTTTTCGAATTTAGTCACTTATTACCTGGCAAAATATAACAGTATTGTAGTCTTTTTCGATGCAAATAGACGCTGGTATGGTCATATAATATTAATAGCAACTTTAATAGCCTAATAAGCGTTTCCATGTTGGGGTAAAAAAGTTAAGTTTCTAAAACAACGCGATTGGTATGCAGGTAAAAGAAAAAACGATTCGCTATTTATGAATTTTCAGTCCTATAAATAGTTCATAGTGTCGAGCAGCAATCAATAAAAATAACGAGAATGTATTGTTATTATTGTAGCTACTATTAATACAGTGCTTAGTCAAGAAATTGAAGCTGTTAATCGATATGGCGATGGGTCCAACAGGTAATAAAATATTTGGTATGATTGTGCATAGAATATTAGAGATGCTAATGGCTGTTACTGTTTCCCTTAACAGTGCTACGCTCAATATTAGAGAGTGCGAGGCGGACGATTGTTCGAACACTGATGTGATGTTCCAGGATTTGAAGGATCTAGCAAGACAGTGTCATTTCTATTTCTTATCACAATTTACTAATAATCGCGTATTTTATTTGTAAGATTGGAACGTATTATCAATGCAACGTTATCTTATAATCATTGTCAAAAGCATAGTAAACGTTGTAAATTTGAGTTGGCTCCATGTCGGTGATTTGCAAGCAGGGAATCCATTCAAGTTCATATTCACTTTGTAAGGAAGGTTGAACCTCGTCAATTACTGGGTCTTGAATATCTGGAACTAATGACATGGTTTTTGAACGAAAAGGTTTATCGAGTAAACAGTTTCATTTTGTCAACAGTTACTGTGTTACATCGCACATGTACATATCACCTACGCATACAGGGACGCTTCGTCAACAGGTGTTTGGGTCACCATTGGATTTACAATAAAGTAAGCAGTGTATATATAAAATTCCGAGTCAAATTGTCAAAGTACAACCTAACACTGGAGTGCAATTATAACTTCTCAATCTCCTTTCTTCTGTTCAGCTAAACGCTGTATAGCTATGCTAATAGCAATAGCAACTTTAGTAGTCTAATAAGCATTTCTTGTGGAGTGACAACGAATGTTAAAAAGTTAAGTTTTAAAGTAACGAGATTGGAGGAATAACTCGGTAGAAGATGATTTTTAACTACTATCTACGACTCGTATTTATAACTATTATCGTTCCACTAGCTGTCTAACTTTTTGGATATATGAGGAAAGTTGTACATAGTCCTTGTTCTTCCTTTCTCAGGCGTCTAGATCATCTTGACTAAACTTTTGGATATATCCAGACAATCTATTTATATCTGCCTAAGTTTATGGATATAAGCGGACTAGTACGTTTTGTCTAAGTTTTTGGCAACATCTGTACAATGCTGCGCAATTGTCGGCAGCTGTGTCACTTAGATTTCGTGTGCTGCGGAATCGGAGAATTTTGTGTGACGGAGCGGAAATCACGGAGGAATACGTCGTATTAAACCTTGATCCTGACAACTGCATTAAATCCGAATTATTTGATACAAGGTGTACGATGTTAACTTCTGGCATCCATCTATTCTGGCTGATGTAAATCAGATGGTATATGTACGTTTTTATTATTTATAAGATAATTATAATACCATGACAATAAAGCATTTAACCTCACTATAATTTACTTCCACTGTAATCGAGTCACTATTAAAAGAGGTTATTACATTAATAACATTAGTTCTGACAAACATCAAAAGCATACCCAAGTTACATATGACCAAACATATAAAGTAGGATGACAATGGTCGTTGTCAGAAGTTCAATGGATAAAGTACTGCTGAATAAACTACGGCCACCACTGTTAGTGCCACTACCACCGTTTTCAGTGCCATCACTATTACGGCCGTTAATGCCACTACGGCCGCTTGGAGAATCACTACCAGCACTGCATTTATGGCCAGGAAGACATTTCTCGCCAGTTGGACAACATTCGCCCTCACCGTCTGTGCATTCATAGTATCCACTGTCGCAAGGGGATCTCCTTTGCAGCTGGGAATACTGGATGTCAGATCTACCTTGTAGCTGAGATGTTGTAGCAGAAGCCAAGATTACGGCAGCGAGAACAAGTATAAGTGTGAGAATCTTCATATTGACAATCGAGCAGGGGGACTTGATGTTGATATCTGTGGCTATGGCACGCCGCAATGGAATTTAAATCGAATCAATTGCGTAGCTATTTATATTGCTAATGATATGATATCTGTGGCTATGGCACGCTGCAGTGGACAAAAGTCTAAATTTAAATCGAATTAGTTGCGTAGCTATTTACAGTCAGTCATACCTCGTTTATATCTCTACTTTGGGACGAGGACTTTGAGGTGGGATATAAATGAGGTAGCATAAAGTATTCATTTAAAAACATGCAATTTTATTGTTAATAAATTCGTTTAATGATGTTTGGCGTTTAGCCTTTTCTACAGACTCATCTAAGCGTCGAATAATATTTCGTATATACAGTACTTTACATCGGTTTCTTGTCTTTTATTTTATCTTCAAGTGACAGATTTCTTCTTTGCTTTCTTTGTCTAATGTTATTGATGTTATCTGTACTTTAATGATTAATATCGGAAGGTTAAGCAACGCACACTCTTATATATTTGAAAACTACACTCTTGTACTTGGCTTAAATGGCGTGTTTATAACCTGATCGCTTTTCAGCACGGTTTAATATTTTTTGCTAATTATTTTTAACATTTCGAGAAATCGTAAAAATAGAAATGACATGACAGTTTGTGTAATATAGTAAATTAGGAACATGACTTGTGCAACATTAGTATCGCACATAGTACATAGTCAACCTCGTTAATCCGAAGCCAACGGGACCGAGGCTTAAGTTCGGATTAACGCCATCTTCGGATTAACG